AAACGTTGTCGGAATACACATTGTCTCGCGGTGGCCAAGTGAAGACCTGTGCAAGCGTAATCAAATCGGATGTGGATGGTCTGGCTCTCCAGTTGATTTTCGGAGCGTGTAACTGAATTAATACAAGTGAATACAGCTGATATTTACGCAGGACATAGTCGCATAGAGGTCAATTTATCGTGTAACCATCGTAGATCCAATCTAAGCACTTTCGATATACATATCACAAGCGTCACAGTCTAGAGCAAACGTTTAGAGTAATTGTGCAACGAAAATTATGCTCCTTATTGGCACTTAGTCTTGAGTCGTTGTTATGTTTTTGTATTAACTACCTATGCTGAAGTGAAACTCTCTATCCTCCAATTGTATCCCGTCAATAGGTCCATAAGTACGCAAACACTGAATAAAGCATTTATTCCATTTCCAGTATGTAAATGCAAACGTAGCCGGTCCGTAGACCGATGAGCAAGCAGCGCATCAATACGCAGGCAAGCAGGCACAAACTGGCGCAAGTGTTACCAAAAGGAGTGTCGTCTCGCTGGGCAGTCCACGAACCAAGCAATGCGGACAGGTCGACGCTGACCTCTGATTCGCTGAGGCGGATCGACCGATCGATCGAGTAAGTCCGCATGACGTACGTACGTGCGTGTAGTGGCAGGCCGCAACGGTCACTGGGGTAAACGTTTCACTCGACTGCAGGCCACAGCACCTCCATTTTACTATCTATTTCCATCGCTTTCTTCTTTATTGTAATTTCTATCACCGTTACATCATTCTGATCATCAATAAAGTGTCATTCATGCACAGCATTTTCGTAACACTCAATGTGGTAATGCAAGATTAAAATAGTTCTCACTTCTCTTTTGCGTATTGATCATACAGTCAACCTGCAGGAAGGGGACTGCGGACATACAAAAGCTGCCTGGGGGGGGGATAAAGGAATGGGGAAAATGGGAGTGATTCGAACTCAGGATATCCAAGGTCGCTCTGCTGATTATTTTACCACTTGATCCTCAAGATCCAGCTTTCTCGGTTACCTGAAATAAACTTCACTCAAATGGTTTTGATACCAGTCCGTTTTCATCATGTGGCACTGATCTCACCGTACGCCAAAGCGGGTTGCAATAAGTTCCATAGAAGCCCAAATATTGTTCAATTCGATCGTAATTCCTTTTCAAACGAGAATCAGGTTGGTGACTATGAGATCACTGATTACATCGATGTGAACAGCAAAAAGAACAAGTTCTTTTTTATAAATAAGATAATCCCAACAAGTCTTCCGAGGTTTCCGTATTAAGGAAACGTAGCAACCCTAATAGATGAGGGTAAATGCGACCAGTGTATTTGCAATCACCATAACCGTCTGTGTCACTGGCTGTTGTGTAATCAAATGAGCGTGCACTGCATGTACACGCAATCTGCGATTGTCAACTGCTACTGTCAGACTATTCAAATCACATTCACACACACCCAGATGACCTACCATGTTCACATAAGCTTACCCAGAAGTATCATTTTATACCTAGTGCGATGGCTGAGCAAAACGTTTCTGGATGCACGAAAAGTTTTATTTGTTACAAAAAATAAGCATTACATTTGCTCGAAGTATTATTCCACGCCAGAGTTCATGCGCGCAAGCCATTTAGTCAAGCAACTAGACCACCCTTCCATCAGATCACTAAAGTCCTCTACTGCAACTGTTGTTGACTCATTTCGGATTAGACGCATCATGCAGTTGACATTTTGGAACACAAAAAGTCACATGGAGTGTCATCACCACAGGCAGCTCGCAAACGATCAACACTCTGATGCTGCTACTGCTGCTGTTTTAAACTACATTTGCAGTCATAGGAAATCATAGCCCTCAAGTGACATCAACTGAGTCCCATAATTACAGTTCGAATATAGGGACCCTTGAATAACCTGTGGTCTGTGCTTGGCTCTGTTGATATTTAGTTCTGTGTGATTCGCAACCACCAAACAATATTCACAATAGATTGGAGTTTATGTTTTCTTTGCCCGGGCACATCGGCACCTCGTACTCGTGTACAATGCATACACCGGAAATGTTTTGTTCAGCCTTTGCATAACAAGATGGTCAATACGGGCTGTCTTTAACCCGGAACCACAGGGCCTCTTCTGCCGGTGTGTAAGCATACAACCCGATCACGATGTCCGCCCGAGGAAGGTGTTTGCTTCTGATAGGTGCGAGGGGAGGGCAGTGGCAGATTCAGTCGTGGTCACGATCGTGTGCTCGCTTTGATAGGTTGCCCGCCCTTCGTGAACATATTCTATGACGATAGCAGTGTGGTAACTAAGTTGCTCCTCACAGAGAGTACGAAAGCAGTTTCCTTGAAAGCCCACTGGTCCTACTGTTTTATCCTCCCAGATACCGATGAGGAGAAAATATCTGTTAGTTACTCAAATCAGTCATTTGGGACCTCTCTGTTGCCTCTCAATCACCACAAACAGCGGAATCCAAAATATCTGCGTTTAGGATAACTAGGGGTCTGTCCAGTGAACAGCACTACCCCAAAACACTTCGAGCAGACAACATCATCAAAGTTCACATTGTACCTAACTGAATGTGGACCTGTAATTTAGACAGAATGTATTGTTTCATATTCACATTATTCCCGGTGCTTATCAGCTCGGACTCAGACGGAATGGGAGCAGTCCGAGATATCACTGATGTACCGCATTCCACGATCGCCGCAAGGTGTGTCATCTTCGGGTGGAAGGTGCGAATTGTCGGATCCGGTGTCTTATTGGACTAATCTTTGCCCTGTCGCTGTTTCCTCCACCCAGTTGTCGTCCTACGCAATTAAAATGCACAAACGTGAGGCACAAAACGCGTTATCTGTGTAATCATCTCATAAAATGCACACACACACACACGTCTTCAAATTCACGGTTTTAATTCGTTTATTATTCATTTGTCTGGACATTGACCTAGGGGGTCCACATTATCATGTTTGCTATTCTTAGTAAAGGCATAAATAGGTATAAATATAATCACATGAATAACAGGCATCGTTTTGTAGCTACCGTTTTCGTGTTCTCAGCTCCGAACGGTGTACTCACCGAAGAGCCATGAAGTTGTTCCTCTATTGGCTCCTCATTTTGTCCGTCCTCATTCACGTCGGGAGCGCATTGACTGTCAACAGCAAGCGGGACCCGTTCACAGAAGAATTTATTCGATATATCAATGAAGAGGCAAGTGGCTGAAATGTATCAATTTATTACGATAGGCTTCATGCATGATCGTTTTGTAGCTATAATTGTTTCCGTTATAGTAGCGTCAGTTTTGACGTGTATTGTATTGTATTGTGCATAACGTTTACAAGCACTGGAGCTCAAATTTGAGTTAGAAAAGCGTACATACTAACCGCCACAAATTACATAATCAACGGGGAGAAAGTTTTTATAAGCATGGAGACATTTCATGATCTAAGGTTAAGACAAAGTTCACTTATTTTCCACTCTTTGTTTATGAGTAGACGAGTAAGATATGGTATAGGTAAAGTTCGGTAAGCCTTAATTCGAGATAAAATTTGACGCAATCGGGAGCGTGTTGAATGATGGGAACGACAACGTGTCAGTTCTGCGTGCAACGGGTGGTCAGGATCTGTGAGAATCCTCTCCGCAAATTTTACACAGGAAGTTTTGTGATACTCTGAAATCCTTAAAACTAACTCATTCACAGGAATAGAAGAAACGTGGCTAATAATAGTGAGACCGCTACGCAAGACTGAAATTCTGTTTGAGAAAGCCAGGAGAAAATAACTGGAAAACAGTAAAGTAAGATGGGGAAAACACACTGATAAACAAAGGTAGAAATAACTGAGTGGGATGTGTGAAACTGCCTGAGCTTTCTAATTTGAAATGATAGGCGCCGCAGTTTACCATTGCAGTTGTGGGTGTGGGTTGACCAATGAAAATTGCTACCTATAATTACACCAAGATATTTGACAGAATCCTCCCCAGATAAAGGATTGTTATTTATTACTGTGTGATCTGTCGGATATGGAGAGCTAGCAAAACTTTCCATACACTCAACACATTTATTGGGGTTTAAGGTTAGTCCGATGAGGAGGAGAATGACTAAATTTGATCAAGATTGTCAGTGAAGGAGCTTAGATCGGAGTAAGAAATGGGTTGGCACAGCACGACGTCATGTGCATATTTCAAAATTCGTGCAGAAGAGACACAAGGAATATCACAAATATAAGTGGAAAATCAGTGTGGGGAATGGCACAGCTCCTTGAAGATATATCTAGTAATGTCAAATTTTTATTGTGAGAGACATTTAAAAGCGATTGCTTTTCTTGTCCCATTGGATTTTTCTCATAACTCGTTCGATTCACGAATAGGAGAGAGAGAAAGATAAGGAATGTCACAAATTTCCACTGTTTCGTGGACGGGTGTCAAAATTTAAAGCATGACAATGTTTCTTTCTGTTTGTGCTTGAAATAATCAACTTATGGGCACAGAAACAATGTGATGAGGCGGTAGAGAATTCCAAATACTGCACGCTCTGAGGGCAAATGAACGACGTCGGCATTCTGGTCGACAGTTTTGGAGCACTTATTTAAATAAGTGCCCCATCTGAGATGAGTGTTGGGCGACAAGATGAACAGTGAACAACATGGGTGATCAGGGCTCTGCATTAATTGATACACCATAATCAAGTCCTCTCGAATTTGGCGATACCGTGTGCAGGACAATCCCTGTTCTCACTCTCATTTGAATTATCGATTACCACAGGGATTAGTCGTATATGGTTCTACTTCAGCTGATAACCGCGAGAATCATCCGAAAAGGATGTAATACACTGATATCAGAATGAACTAACACTTTAGTAAGGAAAGGTACAACTGAGTTTGATCCATATATTTCCGTAAAAATGTAACATCCGAGGCAAAGATACTCGAAAATGTAACTAGAATGTCCCGTTGGTGAATCTAACAACCCCTGTTGTTATTTTTTTATCGAATCAGACATCAGCAACATGGACGGCTGCTATGCCTAAACGATTCACCAGTAAAGAACAGGTGAAACCTTTCCTGGGCTCGCTGTTCGAGCCGAAGGCGTTGCGCGCCGCACGACGACCGACAGTGAACTACAACCTTGACAACGTGAAACTGCCCGAACAGTTTGATGCTCGCGATCAGTGGAAAAATTGCCCTTCGATTGGTGAGATTCGTGACCAGTCTAGTTGTGGTTCGTGCTGGGTAAGTGTGTGTGCTTACCCTCTTCCGGATGGAATTTTAATAGTTGCCTGCTTTTATTCATTTTTTTCAAACAGAGTTGAAACTGTCCAAACTCATTTTGTTTCACGTGGCCGATGTTTATTTATGTGAGGAATACTGTATGGTCTGATTGAAAGGGATCAAGCTGAAATCGGAGTTTTTCGGGACCAAAAATGTCAGATGAAGTGTCTGTTTGGATTCTACTGATCATTGTAAATCAGTGCTACAGAGAACGATGAGGCGAAGTTTGACGAATCGTTGAATGAATGAAGAGTTTTAATATTATCGTACTGTTTTGGTCTTTACTATCCTAGCTACACAAATATCACTCAATCAGTGAGTATTTGTAGTAGTTGAAGAAGCCATCGGTCACGAACCACGAATCACAAATCACGTACGCAACGGGAACACTGAATCGCACTGGCACTCACATGCTGGTATCGCCCGTCACTGGGATGCAAGAAAAAGTCCGTTTGTTGAAAAACATCAAGAGTATTAAATAATACGTACAAAGGAAGGTTATTGGTTTTACAGCTGTCGCCCAATCATCTGCTGGTATTTTTGACAGCTTACAGCCTCTGCCTGGACCGCATGACTTCCGATTGGTCGCCACGATCGGCCTGTGGTTCGTTGTTCAGGAACTGTAACGCGTAGGCGCTTGGTTGGCGTCATCTGGGAGGGTGGACTCACCTCGGTTGTCTAGAAACTGTAACGCACCGTGACTAGCGTTATCCCATTGGTTAGGATCACCACAATATTTCCCTACTTCTAAATCGATTTTTTACGCTTCTGTAATTGATATGTTCCATTTCCCACTCTACACTGGTGTTTCTGCTTTTTTTAACACCGGAACGAACACTGAGGTGTTTGTGGTAACACTTTAACTCTTACCACGTCGGCTCGTCAGGAGTACAAAGTTGGAAACATGTGATCAACATAACAAAAGCACTAATGTTGACCGGAGTATGTATAGCAACAGAAGAAAAACCAACAACTGATAACCAACTGTCTTATAACACCCGTCATTCAGAAATTTACCTATTAAAGTGTGAAAGAGGGATGGGAAAAGTATACGGTAAAAAGAGATTTAGCGCAACGCTCCGATGAGGCCCACAGGGTTCATGCCCAAAGTCCATCGTTATAAACCTCACACTCGCAAGATTTTTTCACTTCACTTAACCCGCTGGAGACATTAGAGTGAGTGAAATCACTTTTAAGTTGGATGGGGGCGTGTTGTTACAGTTGCACATTTGAGCTACTGTTCTGTTTTTGTAATGGTTGAAGTACGTACAGGTCACGGATTACGGATCACGTATTAAGCACCACGGACACCACAAAGGAACTGAATCACACTAGCACTTGCATGATGGTATCCCAGATGACCGAGACGAAAGCAAAAGGCCACAGGAGTAGCGGTTTGTTTACTAGAAGAAATCAAGGGGGTTAAATAATATGTACAAAAGAAGTTCATTGGTTATCCAAATATCTGTCAATTGCGTGCTCGTATTCTTGACGTCGTACAGCTTCTGTCTGGGCCGCACATATTCTGATCGGTCGGCACAATTGGCCTAAGTTTCGTGGCCCATAAGCTGTTACGCGTAGGAGCTTCGCTGGCATCATCTGGGAAAAATGACTCATCACAGTTGTCCAGAAACCGTAACGTGTCGCCCTATGGTTTTAGTCATCTTGTAGGCTAGGACTACCACAGTTTTGCGTGCCGAAAGGATTCTTATATTAAGCCTCACCCCAGGGCAACAGTATTCTTTCACCAGGATTAACATTGAAATACGCTTGGTTGAGCCGACAGTGTTTTTTGCTTAGAACTTCTGACATTTTCTCTTTCGTAGACGTATTCCCATTTTAGACAATATATGATGAAATTTTTCACACGATGCTCATCCCCACTCTGTCTCACCACTGGACTATACGTGGAAACTCGTTAGGCATTTGGTGCAGTTGAGGCTATGACCGATCGGACGTGCATTCATTCGCACGGCCGAAAAACAGCTGATCTGAGTGCTCGGGATATGCTCTCCTGTTGCCCAACCTGTGGCTTTGGTTGCAACGGCGGTTACCCACCGAGGGCTTGGGACTTTTGGAAATCCTCGGGACTCGTGACCGGTGGCTCGTTGGAAGACGCCCAAGGATGTCAGCCATATCCGTTCCCTAAGTGTAATCACCATTCCGAGCACAGCAAATATCAAGATTGTGCTGAAGACTTGTATGAGACTCCGATATGTATGAAAACCTGTCAACCCAGTTTCAATCGCACGTACAGAGAGGATAAAGTATACGGTGAGTTGAACTGCCTACCGACATTTTGGGGCACAGAAAATCACTTCCGGTATACTTTGCGATGATCAAAATGAAACTATTGATCCTTTTCATATAGTCATGCGCTTTGAGGTGTGCTGTGTTCCATTTCGCCTGTTCACCGAGCTTTGCAATTTGTTTGCAAACGTTTCATCATCGGCCGAGGTGACATGATCAGTGCTTGTGAAGAAGAACAGGAGATTTGTCGAACTATACTGAGCGAACGATAGATGGAACAGCTGGAAGATGATGTCACCTAGGCTGGTGATGAAACGTTTGCAAAAAATTGCCAGTTGCTCGGCGAACAGGCGAAATGAAATTCAATTCACCCAAGCTACGAGAACCGATTTTCAATAATTTGCCGTGTTATTGAGCCTGTCGAGTGAGTTGAATGACAGTTAGTTAAGTCTGTATCTAATGCGTAAGTGGATTGTGTAAGGTCTATATGTTTTTTGCATGTCCTAACATGAAGTTGACACGCCCAGGGAATAGATCCATGTTGAGATGCAGCAAAATCCACCTGGATATACAGCTTGCATTACTGTGTTAGTCTTTTCTTTTTTAAAATCTAGAGGAACCGAAAATACACGTTTACAATCCTTAAGCGACCGATCAAAAAACGGCAAGATAGAATAATTACACTTGTGATACATACGAAATATGGAAATGAAAATTGTGGATCATGGATATCTAAATGTTATTAGTTTGAGATAACGAAAATAAAATTGATGATTTCAGATTATTACAGGATGCGGAAGACCCATCGAAGACTAGTGTTACTAGGGAGTTCACAAGGTAATTAATCGAACTAATTAATTCTGGACAATAGGTTAGAATCGATCGTTGCAGAAGGGAGGTTGAGGATGAGTTGAAAACTTTCAGAAAATGAACACGTTAATGCTTTGCATCCATTCTGAGATCAAAATTCAATGAAAAACTCTGTACCTGAGGAGGATGATGCTTGAAACGACCAGAATGACTCAATCTTGTACTTTGTGTCCCCTCAGTGAAATTCCAGTGGAGAAGATGAATATCAAACGTTGTCTTGCTTTCAGAGAAAAATGAATTTGGGATTATAGTTAGAGAATTGAGCAATTATCAAGAAAAATACTTCGCACAGGTTTTGCAGACTTGCACATTGATATAAGGATAAACGAGAGCAGAAGTTGAATTCGAGAGCAAAATGTGTTAGATGTGCTGATGAGATTGAGGAGATGAGAACCAATTTTTGATCAAAAGAGGTTACGATAATGTAACCAAATCGGTTGGAGATGTAATGCGAATTGGTAGATTTATAAATCGTATAAATCATATTAATGGGTCTTCACTAGTCAGAAATGTGATCCTTCTGCAAGGATACACTAAGCGCATTTATCGTTGAATCCGTTTGAAAAAAATAAGCGAGGCTTGAATAACAAAGAGTAGATGTGTCCATCAACACTGTGGGTATTTTTTCTGTGAACGGAATAAGTTTCTTACACTGTACTAAGAAAAACGTTGTACTCACGATATATCATTCGATCTACGGAGTGGCAGTTCCTTACCCATAATGTTGTGAAATACTACTTACACTACTGAGTAGTTCGCATGCATTAAGAACCGGTTATTGGATTCCCACGGAATTCGAGAGTGGATTGAAGGATTTACTTTTATAACTACAGAAAATGCACAAATACCATTGAAGTGATCTACTAATTATCTTTTTTGCCTGTAGAAACATTTGTTCCAAATGATACATTTTGTATTGTGTGAGCCAATTTACCGATACCCTTAGAATTATTTGTAATAAGTAATTCTCCTCCTCCCGGCACTGCCTTATGGGATGAAAACACTAGTAAAAGTAACATAAAAATGTCCATGACTACACCGTTTTCCGACAACGATACTTTCTTTCCAATTTCTCACATTCACTACCCGATGTTTGTGATCTAAATCGCAGTGAAGTTGACAAGAAAAAAGTGCAAACCA